GCTTCTGTATTGTTGTCAGACCAGCATAATCCTACCATAAAGTAAAGAATCCAGCAATAAGATAATGACATGAAATTCTGTATTGTTGTCAGACCAGCATAATCCTACCATAAAGTAAAGAATCCAGCAATAAGATAATGACATGAAATTCTGTATTGTTGTCAGACCAGCATAATCCTACCATAAAGTAAAGAATCCAGCAATAAGATAAAGACATAAAATTTCAAAATTTCTTTGATACGACTTTAAAACGCAACCCTTTGTGCCATTTAAGAAAACGTTTAACAATTATAAACTTGTAATAACAAACTTCTACGTAGCACAAGGAATTAGTCTTAACAACGACCTAAATTACAAAACTAAATTAACTTTAGTTGGTTATTAAACTCAAAGATACAGATACTACCACCTCAGAAAGAGCATCAAGAACCGTGTCTCGTGTGTATATTGATTTACAGGGAATTTTTAATTTTTCGAAATTAATTTTTTGAGTAAAAAAACCAAAACAATTTTGGTTGTAATTAAAACTGAAAACTAAATATTTTTTCTTTTTATATAATTGTATAAAATATTTTGATTTTCATTATTCAGGGAGTGGCAGCATCACAGAAGAGAGCCAATCAGCTAGCTGCAGAAGTGGTGGAGCGCCACCTAGAGGTTTGATACTTTTCATAATTATAATATTGCTTATGGTATGATAAAACCGGATGATGCGAGCTCACTTTGCATTATGTCATTACCATACAATTGTCAGCAGTAAGACTGGGGGTTTATACGCTAAAAAAAACCAGTTTAGATAACCATGTTGGGCAAAGCACAAATAGCCCACTTGGTAGCTTTTGTGCATAAACACAAACGAACAAAAGATATTTTGTCGTTTAGAACCGTTTACTTGCAATTTTGTTTTTTCAATATTACAAGTTACAATTTCGTAAGCTAGAATTTTAGTTTGTCCTTCTGGGGTTATGGTTCACAATGACGGATGTTAGACTGGCTGGAGAGGTTGGGGGGTAGGCAGTCAAAGTTTATGTGACCAAAAACGTATTGCTGTAAATATATATATAGGCCCGGCATAGCCAGGTGATTAGGGCGTTTGACTCGCAATCTGAGGGTCGCAGGTTTGACTCCCCGTTTCACCAAACATGCTCGCCCTTTCAGTCGTGGGAGCGTTATAAGTGACGGTCAATCCCACTATTCGTTGGTAAATAAGTAGCCCAAGAGTTGGCTGTG